TCCGGGAGTAACCGTGACTCTCTTAAGGGTTAGGTTTGGGTGGGGACGTGGCTTCCTAGTGGAAGTTATGGTTAGGGTTAGATGGATACAAATAAATAAAATATACCTCCATAACACCCCGCCACTCTCGGCTCATACCTCCCCAGCAACGAGGCATATCACCCGGCCACAATACCTCCAGAATGTCCCCCGGGTGAAATCCGGGACTTGGTTTTATGGTTCCGAGTGGCGGGCACTCACCCATTGGCGCCGGACGCGAGGTCTCCAGCCGCCCCCGCCGTGAGGCACCCCATCGTCAGGTCTGTCAGCCCTCGGAACAGGCCGCGGGGCAACAACTCGTGGGCGGGGGTAGAGGCGAGGCAGATCACAGAAAAATAATAAAGAATATGTTTGGCAAAGATATGTTGATTAGAAACGTTTTTGTAATATGTCAAACACAAATGTAATCAGGGAGAAAATACGTTTATGGTCAAACGTAATTGAGAATGCATTTTAGTTTTGGGGGAACGTAATTTTTAGGAGACAGGACTGCACCATTAGACCACCATTACATTTTTCCTCTCGCGCACCCCCGAGAGGCACCACACTTTGGGAATCCCTGATATAGAGCAACACAATGCATGTTTGCACGTGTTCTGTAGCACCACACAGCGGATACAGGAAGCAGTGCACTATTTGCAAAGTATCATATCCAGCATCAGGCTGTCCGAAGGGAAAAAAAATACATCGGACTTGCAGCTTTAATTTATATTGTAGCTGCTTTCATTGTTTGTATCCTGTAAAGCAGGGGTGTCAAACTCATTTTCACTCTGGGCCACATCAGCATCATGGTCGCCCTCAAAGGGCCGGTTGTAACTCTAAGACTGTGTAACTGTAACTACTCCCTAACATATTGTTAAATAACTCTCTCTGCATTTGATTGTTGTTTATTGAAGTGTAAAAATATTGTACATGCAGTTATATAAATGTAAAAAAATATGTAAGCACATTTGTTATTATAACATAAATCCTTTTAATTTAGGGTTAAGAAACCCACATTACTCTATCAAAGATCAAACTTTTAAAGAAAATAACAAAGACAAATATCATCAAACACAAGTTATTATATTAACTTTGTTCAAAGCTATTTTTGTCACCTCTCTGCATCACTAATGTCCCCGTCGTCGTCCCGTGCATGGCAGCTACATCCAAGAGCTCCTCACTGAGTGTCAGGTCTTATAAACATGGATAGATGCGCTGTATCCGTGTTGTCTGTGCTTTCATCAACAGCTAATGAAAAATACAAGTACCTGCTCATCTCTTCGGCTAGCTGTGTTGTTAGATTGCCTGCTAGTTCATGAACCGAGTGGTCTGCGATGGTGTTTCTTCACAAACTGACATTTGTAAAAGTCTGTATCTGATCGGAGGACATCTGCTCACATACCTTTAGCATGCACTGGGCTGTAGCTTCTGTAAATATATTCTGCTGTGATTGCAGTCTGCCTTTTAATTCTTGGACAATTTGATGTTTTTCTTGGAGGATAAATTTAGCTCCGTGTTTGGTGTCAAACTGCCGACGTGAATTGTATTCCTTCATCACCGACACTGCCTCATAACACAGAAGCTCGCGCGCACCCCCAGGGGTCTAAATATGCTCATTCCCCGACTACAGATCTTTATAAGGAACGGTTAAGACTCCAAACTGAATTTAATCTTCTATCTACTGATGAGGCAACACGTCTAATCTTAAAATCCAGACATAATGTGTATGAATTTGGAGATAAATCTAGTAGACTACTGGCTATGCAAGCCCGCCAAGTGGCTACCACCCGTAATATCACAAAGATTCAATCAAACACAGGAGAAACGTTGATAGATCATAATGACATAAATAAAACCTTTTTACAATTCTATTCTAACCTTTACACCTCAGAACTTAGCAATGACCTCAGCCCCTCATGTGCCTTCTTTGATAATTTGACTATCCCTACCGTATCAGAGGAACAAAACACCAGTTTAGGTGGAGATATATCAGTTGCTGAAATCATCATGGCCATACAATCTATGCAGAACAAGAAGTCACCAGGCCCGGACGGGTTTACGATGGAATTTTATAAAAAGTTCTCCTATCAGCTGGCACCAACTCTTAAAGCAATGTTTAAAGAAGCACTCTCCTTAGGCATTCTTCCTATAACTCTGAGACAGGCCTCTATATCCCTACTGGCTAAGAACGATAAAGACCCAGTATTCTGCTCATGTTATCGCCCTATCTCCCTACTTAATGTGGATTTTAAAGTGCTGTCTAAGGTCTTAGCTAAACGCCTGGAGAGTGTGATCCCAGATATTGTCTCAGCTGATCAAACAGGATTTATCCAAGGCCGACACTCCCACTCAAATTTACGAAAACTATTCAATGTTGTCCATTCGGCCCCCTTAACGTGCCCAGAGGTAGTGGTTTCTCTTGATGCAGAGAAGGCCTTTGACCGGGTCGAGTGGAAATACTTATTTCTTCCCTAAATTCTAGAGATCCTGAATCGGTTTGGGAAAATATCAGGATATAAGCTAAATTTGCAAAAGAGTGAACTTTTCCCTCTAAACTCTGAAGCAGAGGCACTCCCTTCCAGCCTTTTCCCCTTTAAGGTGGCCCGGGGTGGCATTAGGTACTTGGGGATTGAGGTCACGCGCTCCTTTCATTCTACTTTTAAAAATAACTATATTACCCTTTTGAATAAATGCAAACAGGATATGACTCGCTGGGCCTCGTTACCATTATCAGTAGTGTGTCGTGTTAACCTAATTAAATTGATAGTATTACCCACATTTTTATATCTCTTTCAAAATATTCCTATCCTGATTAAAAAAAAAATTTTTTTTTAAATCTTGATAAAGATATCATTTCTTTCATATGGGGGACCAAACCTAGTCGGATTAGCAAGACTCAACTCCAAAGACCAAAGCGCGCAGGAGGCTTAGCTTTACCCAATTTTCTCTTTTACTATTGGGCATGCAATATCCAGAACCTACTTCACTGGTTTGAAGACAGGCCAATTGTGGGAAAGGCGGACTGGGTACAAATAGAATTTTCCTCCTGCCGGCACCACCTTGGCTCAGTGGTCTGTGCGGCCCTGCCTCTTCTTAGCAATAACTTGAGTACAAACATAATGGTAAATCACACAATAAGAATATGGGCTCAGTGTAGGAGACATTTTGGGCTGCAAGGAGCCTCCACCCGCTCCCCCATCAAATTTAATCATATGTTTATTCCCTCCTGTACAGATAACGCATTTACTCTATGGTTTGATAAAGGGATCAGATCAATCCATAATTTATACATAGAAGACACGTTTGCTTTATTCTCCCAATTATCACAAATCTATGATCTACCAAGGAACAATTTTTTCTGCTACTTGCAGATCAGGTGCTTCGTACGAAACACGTTTGACTCATTTCCGAACAAGCCCATGAAATCTCATGTTGACAACCTCCTAGAACTGAAACCGAACAGTAGAGGATTGATATCCCAAACTTACGAGCTCATTAACAATATCAACCCACACTCCTTGGAAAATTTAAGAATAGCCTGGGACTCAGATCTTGGAGTGGTTATAACAAATGACCAATGGGACTCTATTTTAGACTTGATATATACATCATCTCCATCCGCTAAACACAACTTAATACAGCTAAAAGTGGTACACAGGGCTCATTACACTAATGCTAGATTGGCAAAAATTTACCCTAACTCTGATCCGTTATGTCCTCAATGTAAAGGCCAGCCAGCAGACTTGTTGCACATGTTCTGGCTATGCCCGAAACTCTCCACCTTTTGGATAAGTATTTTTAAAGCTTATAGTGAGATGTTTGCAGCTCAATTTGACCCGGACCCAATTTGCGCACTTTTTGGCTTAATACCAGAAGACTTCCATGCCCGTTTACCAAATAAAGCCAATGTGGTCGTAGCCTTCACTCCTTGCTCGACGTTTGATCCTTCTGAGATGGAAGCAACGTGCCCCCCTCGTTCTCCCACTGGGTCAAAGATGTCATGTATTTCTTGACACTTGAAAAAAATAAATATACTCTCAGAGTGTCCTCCCAAACCTTTCGTAAAGCATGGAGACCTTTTCTAGAATACTACGACTCCTTACAAGAACCTCTCCACAAAGACTAATGTGGATCCCCTATCCGCCCCATAGCAACAGTGAGCAGCCCCCCCTCCTCCTCCTCTTTATTTTCTTTTTTTTTTCTTTTTTCTTTAGCTATTAATCATTTTATTTTTTACATGTAACTTCTCGCTATTATTTTTATTTTCCAAATTGCTTTACTCTGCCTTTTCGATTAATGCAATTATTTGATATTATGTCTGCATCTCCGTCACCTGAATGTACCTGAATTTACCTAAATGTATAAGTTCCATAGCCTGTAACCCTGCATTGGGTGGGCTGGGTGGGCAGGGTCGGGAATGAGGTTTTAAATTTCAATCTGTAATTGCCCTCAGACATGTGTGAATCCTCTTCCCTGGTGGGATAAAAACTGTGAAAATCAATAAAACATATTTACAAAAAAAAAAATTGTAATAGCTGTTTGTAATAGCTGTTTTTTGTAATAGCTGTTTTTTTTTCTCCGTCCATTGGAATAGACGGCAGTAAAATAACACATGATGAAGTATTTGAATCAATTTTTTTCACAGTACGAATCCACCATTACAATATTTGTTTTATGTGTGTTTAGAACATAATTGGGCTCTGAACAGATTTGATATAGCTATAAGCTATAGCTAAAGAACAGCAGTAGTCTGACTGGTATGTGCACAGAGAAAGGTTTTGTCAAGAAAACAAAAAATATAAATAAACATTTTTCAAGAGAGCATGGGGCATATAATGTACAGAGCAGATCTACTGTGTATGCTATTATTTGGGGCAATGAAAAAAAATGTAATGTCAATGGAGCTGGTGATCTACCATAATCACGTGTCCTCATCGCTGAAACGACCCAAAAGGTGCCCTTAAGGAGTGTCTGCTTACCTAACGGAGTGACAGAGAGCCCTGAGCTCCATCATGAGCTCCTTGATGAGGTCAGTCACCAGCCGCCGGCTCACCACCCTGCTGTCGTCCTCCAGCTGAGTCTGGTGACGGATCCACTGCCACACCTGACACATGAAACACACTCAGTATCATGTCAGGTGATTCGTACCTCAGGGTCAAAATGGCTGGTTAACAAACTAAAAGGCCTGTTTCCCCGTAGCCTTTTCATTTAGAGATAACGGTTTTGTTTTTTGTTTGAAAAGCAGTACAGCACAGGCACTATTAAAAGCCCTGAAAACCTAATTTCTCAACCAGCGTCTCTGAGCAACAATATACATGCGGGTACTATTTTCTGCCTGAGTTAGAGCAGATTTCACATCATCTGTCTGTGCTCTTCTTACTGATTGGGGGGCAGGGCTGAGTTATAAAAACATGATGTCACACATTTATGTAGAGCAATCCGGATTAAGCAACATTTGAATCAAGTTATGGTTGGTTGCTTGCTTGTGTTTTAAGGCACTTTCAATCAAATCAGATGAAACCAAATTCTTAGCCGTGCTAGCGGCTCATTCCTGGCGATGGCAATGTCAGTTGGTCCACCACTTTCAGTCTGAAATATCGCCACAGCTATTGGATGGATTGCCATGCCATTTTTACAGACATTGATGTAAAAGGTGATCCTGGACGTTTTAATATTTTGATGGAAATATTGCCACTACTTGGACCCTTATAATGCACTTAGGTGCTTGGCTTAAGACTATATAAGTCTACTGTCTAGACTGTATATAAGAAGAGGACGTAGTCATCATGAGGTCACCCATTGGTTTGTGGACTGATGTTTTGAAGACTCGAGTCCGGCAGTCACCATCTTGGATTACGACCGTCGCCATGTTGGTTTTTTTTTGCAACCAATGAACAGAAGTTACCATATTTGGTATGCGGCAGAGGATTGACGTAGTGACGCCGGATAAGTCTCTGGTAGCGGCAGCGGCCTGTCAATCACAGTAGTCCCGCCCTAAAGCATACCCTGCTTTATGGTCTATTTGACTCTAAATGGAACATAATTTCCGAAATGAACATCATGCTGTATTGAAGAAGACTTGAAACTAGAGATTGAGACTATAAACTCATGTTTACAATGTTTACTGAGGTAAAGTAGAGTCATTTTCTCATAGACTTCTATACAACCAGAGGAGTCGCCCCCTGGTCGTCAGTTGAGAAATGCAAGTTTTAAGAAACTTCCACATTGGCTTCACTTGGCAGAACCGGAGGTTTTTACGCCTGCTCATGACTCATGAACTGTGTAAGCCAATTTCAAGCCACGCTAGCAGCAATGTCAGTGTCTCGGTCAGTCAACCCACAACTGTGGTCCAGACTGAAGCAACAGTCTGGACAACTACTAGATGGATTCCCATGAATTATCAGGTCAACATTGTAATATGTCCAATACTTTGCTTTATGACCAAATACCTGCAAAACTAATGACATTTGCATCAGATTCAGCTACTTTGTGATTAGTACTAATTTGCTAATGTTAGCTTTCAAATACACAAAAATGATTCCTGCTAAACATCAGCGTGTTAGCATTGTTGATGGTGATGTTAGCTAGCATTTTGCACATAAATGAGCAACTGAATAGCTTTCATGTAGGCCCAACAGAAAGAAATCAGCATTGCTCAAAGCCCACCAAAGCCAAAGTCGGATGAGTCACATCATTTTCCCCATTTTGTAAAACATTTTCTTCCCTACTCCTCCATTTTCTTTTTCTTAAACTAGGCAATCCTTCAAAAATATATTGCATATAAATACCATTTGACCTGCAGGTGACGCTAAGGCAAAATGATAACTTTTATCTATCGCGGTGGTCATGAGTCTAACTGAGAGTACATCCACACTACAAATAGAAATGATTTCCGTCCACATGGGTGTTTCAGCATCGTTTTCGAATTGATCTGCATCCACACGGCAACCTTCCAAAATGGATATCACGTGACCATTAACGTACACTGGGCATGCGTGTGACGGTGTAAACAGGAAGTAGATTGGTTGCTTAGTTTAAAAAAATACGACAGAGTAATATAGTAGTCTTTAATAATGAAAGGTTGTGTTTGATACTTAAGATCTTCCTCTAAAATATTCCTCTATAAACTCAAACAGACAGTGCGTGGAAAGTTTTAGGCGTTTTATTTTTCAGACTTAGTTACAGCGCTACGGGTCTTTCTCTATCTCTCTCTCTCACATCAACTTTACTTTCAAATCAACACTTACATGTTTACTAGATTATGGGTCCATAAATGTGGTCAACACACGTCTCTCACTCGTTTCCTCGTTGTTGTCTGTTCTCACTCGTAGCTCTGCTGGTGGATTAGCTATCTGTCCTACTGAATAGCATTTACTGCTAACCGTGACTTCAGACGTCAGCTCCGTAGGGCTGATAACGCCGCTGGTCACGCCGCTCGCTAATCGCTCCATTAACAGCTGCTTCCTCCACAGAAATGCAGACTTTAACTGAACAACAGCTGCTAGTTAAGACAACAAGGTCAGCAATGCCTGCAATCACTTGTCCATATTAAATTAACCTGGTAGTCAATCAGTAATCAATGTTGTTGTTTGTGAGCTTCCGGGTAAGGGTCACGTGATAGGCATGTGACGAATCAGGGAAGGACACGTCATGACTGCTAAGAACCAATCAAGTAGCGAAGGCGGGTGTGGTCGTTTCTGAATGTATCTGTTTTGCGACCGTCCACACGAAGAGGCAGCCCCAGAGTTTTCAAACTTATCCGTCTTCGGGAGCGTTTTCAAACTCCTCCGTTTTCGGTGCTCGAAAACTCCGCGTAGTGTGGTCGCTCAGTGTAAACGTAGCAAAACATATGCGTTTCAAATGGAAACGGAGTAATGTGGACATGGCCTGAAATGTCGTACAATCCTCCTTGTACAAAGCCCTAATATTTGCAGACAGGTTTTTGTCTTTGCAGTAAGTTATGGCCCACAGGGATGGCTGCTGAAGTTGGATCGTGTAATCCTAAACCCACCTGTGATCTGGAAATCTCTGCTGTGGCTGAATCTTCGACCTGGCCTCTGTAGAAAAAATGACCTCTACCTAGGAAACAGAGAATTGCTTTTAACAGTCCACACAATAAGACTCACTTCATTCATCCTGCCTGCTCCTAACCATGAGGAGAACAAGAGTATGTGAATGTACATACCTGATAGCCAAGCATTAACAAAGAGGACACCAACTGCAATGTTATGCTTCAAACCGTAAAGGGTGACTCCTCCCTGGAGAAAAACAAAATACATCCGAATATACTTTATTATTAGAGACTAACACTGCATATCCAGTTATTTTTACATACAACTACCAAGATCAGAATTACCTTCTCATCCTATCATGCTCTGTCTCATGTATGAAAATGCTACACCTGTAAGAGCCATTTTGTTGTTTTTGTTTTTGTACAACCTCCCACCACATGGGGGTGTAGTGCCAATGTAAATCAGAGCACAGGTAATATAATCAGTGGGGTCATTGGACACAGGTTGTTGCTAATAGGTAGAAGCAAACAGTTTTTGACCGTGCACATTTAACGAATGTAAATGTTATGATTTATTGGTTTATGGAGAAAATGGATAACTGAAGAGAAAGTGGTGGAACTCTGATTATGTGAGAAATAAAATGCCTATATTGGAAACGACTTCGTTATTTATGGCACGTGTCAGAACAAACATTTCAGCAACCGTAGTGACTTTTTATTGGGAAGCAACGGTCACTACAACACCTAAGGGAGATTTTGGAGTGACATGTTGGACAGCGCTCTCCACTTGAAGAGGAATATGTTTTGGATTTATCGGGTTCATCCCTGGAGTAGAATTCTACCTAAACTAAGACATTTCATGTCATTCATGTGTAAATGAATTTGACATTCCCTCCCAATAATATCTTCAGCAGTCTTCTTGCATGGTGCCTAGCATAGACTGTGTATAATAAGTGGATGTAGTCCCCGTGAAGTCACCCATTGGTTTGTATACTACTGTTTAGAAGCCTTGAGTTTGGCATTTGGGCCATTGCCATCTTCTATTTTTGGAGCCAGATGTGACCATATTTGAATTAGAGGGTGGAGCTTGAGATCCTGGTGGAGCCATGTACGTTAACATTAACAAACACTAAGTTACCTGTTAAAGCTTGGTGCATCCATAATTCACATTAACTGTGATATTAATTGGGATGCTAATTTTGGCCTAAAACAAGATGTACTTACCAGATAAAATTAACAGCCACCTTCTTAGTGTCTTTTAGTACAACCAATTGCTGAACAAGACATTTTTAAGTGACCAGGTTGCCGTGGTAGCGACATGTCAATCAAATGCTAGCCCCGCCCTAAAGCATACCCTGCTTTATGGTCTATTTGACTCTAAATGGACCATCGTTTATTAAATGAACATCATGCTGTATTGAAGAAGACTTGAAACTAGAGATTGAGACCATAAACTCATGTTTACAATGTTTACTGAGGTAATAAATCAAGAGAGAAGTAGAGTCATTTTCTCATAGACTTCTATACAACCAGAGGAGTCGCCCCCTGGTGGATATTAGAGAGAATGCAAGTTCAAGACACTTCTGCCCATTGGTGCCCACTAAATCTGTCAATTGGAACATAAAGGCTAGAAGAGGCTTTTTGTTTCAGTCTACCAATGGTTGAATCTGAACAAATTTGTTAAATAATGTTAAAATGTTACAGCTTCTGCTGTCCTATTCTGAGACAACTGAGCGACTGACCAAAGGCATGGACAACAGGTCATCAGGAGTCACAGTGACATCATGTCGAAGCTGGTAAAGCTGGTTATCTCCTTCAGTGTGGAGCTTGAAGAGCTAGAAGAGGTGAAGAATTACCAACAGAAAATGTATTTATAGAGAGCTTTGTATGGCTCATGATCCAGTACTCACTTTCTGCATGGGCTCAATCAAGCTCAGATCATACACCATGAAACCGTCCACACCTGCCTGGATCTCCAGCAACTTCAGTCTGACAGGTGGGAGGAAACAGTGTCAGAGGAGCCAACATGTTTCAATTTAAAAATGCATTAACTGTGAAGATAACGTCTGTCAACTCAGCAAAGAATACAGACATCACCAGGCTAAATACGCATGGATGACACTGTATATTATGTGGTTTATTAACATGATGTGGCAATAACTTTGTCAGATTTCTTTTGACTAATGAAATAATGCTGGCTTTTCAGTTTGACCCTTCATCACCGGTTCAGTGTGATGGACATCAGCGAGACAGTTTGACAAAGACAGTCTGCTCTGTGCAGTGGTGGAGGGAGTATTCACTTTACTTTAAGGGTAACTTTGGTATTTTTCAACCTGGACCATATTTCCACATATTTTTGTGTCGAAGTAACTAGCGGGACAACAATTTTTGAAATTAGTCCTTGTCAATGTAACGTAACATCCATTAAAAGTGCTTGTTTTTGCCAATGACAGGCTCAGATTGCTATTATAAGTGTCTGACAACATTATGAAAAGGACCCTACAGAGAAATACAACATTTTTCTTTACCTTTCGCCTTAACTGGTTTGTCTGTTATTGTGTCCAAGTGTCATTCAGTCTCAATGTGTGTGAACAGTGATGTTCCTACCTGGTGACAGTAGCCAACACTTTGCTGTGGGAGTCACTGAGCGGGTCCTGAGGCAGCAGCAGGGCTGCCATGCCTCCTGTGGCCAGCGCCCCCCTCCGATGACATGTCTGAACCAGCAGGTCCATGTAGCTGCGCAGAAAACGCTTCTCCATGTTCACATATTTACTGCGGTCGGGCAGCAGGAAGGCCTGTCGGTGACCTGGAGGAGAAACGCATGACCTCTTGACTTCAATGAGGCAAGGATTGCCGTTTTTCAGCTTCACTTTTGTTTACAATTTGCCGATTGTATATCGTTATTAATAATGATAAATACACTCCATCATACCTATTCTATGAGCCGTAATTCTGATAATACAGTTGGCCATGCACCCATGGGTGAATTATGAGACAATGGGACCCTGGGCACAGACATGCAAAAGGCCCCACCACCTCTTCTACACAGGAGCAAGACACAGAGACTTTATAGTTGTTGATTTGTGTCTCTTTGTAGTCGTTACACGTCTCTCTGTGAGTTTGTGTCTCTTTGTAGTCTTTTAATGTCTGGGTGGTACATACAGTATCTCTTGCAGTGACATTTTTAGGTGAAGGCCAGGGGGGCCCTGAAACTTTGGGCCCCTGGAGTCTGTTCCCAGTAGACCCATTCATTAGTCTATTCATGCATGGACCTTCCCTGAAGCAATGATTGGGTTCAGAGGCTCGGTGTAAAGCACAGGGTTCATTGGGAGGCCAGAAGGTTTGGCTCACCAAATTTATTGACAAAGGAGGCTGAATAATCCCAGATGCCACAGTTTAGTCCTGCTGAATGGTCTCGCAGCTCGTGGAGAATCTCCTCCATCTCAAATGCTGCTAATACATTTTCAATTAGCACCGTCGCCTTAATGCTGCCCAGCGGAAGGCCCAACTAGACACACACACACACACACACACACACACACACACACACAGATACAGACAAATTCAGTAGATACGACCACATATGAGGGACCGTTTCACAGAGATTATTTTATACCACTACTCACAATAAACAAGGCATTCAAAAATGTTAATAAGAAAAAAATACTGAAAAATAAAAATTGAAATGGCAGTTTGAAAATGGAGAGTAAAATTGCTGCAATAAACCGGAAATAAAAAACTGGCTTAAACAGAAATGCTCAAAGTGAAAGTAAAAACATGTATTTCTAGAACAGGAAAATCAGTCTCTTTTTTCCATCTACCATTTACCACTTAGCTTCTCCAGATGTGTGTAATAAATGAGGTGTAGAATAAAGCGTGTTGGATGGCCTTGAAATAATTTACACCAGGGGAGTGTGTATACTGTGACTAAGTCCTGGTATTAGGGACACAAAACAATTGATCTGAGATTTTGAGAATGAAGTTAAAAACAAGTCATCAAATTTTGAGAATAGAACTGTATATATAAAGAACACTTTGTAGGAGAACATAGATATTTGATATGTGCATAAACACTGACACATGCAGACCTTCTGTTGTGTCCAGACAAATATTTTGTTCCATAGTCTGGCCTCCATGAAGCTCTCCACCTAAAAAACAAGAAGAAACAGTAGAACTTCATGACAATGGTTTTGAGTGATGGTGTGTGTGTAGGTGTGTGTGTGTGTGTGTGTGTTACTTTTGAGAGGTAGAAAAAGGGTCCACTCTTGTTTTCAAAAAGTGTCTCTCCACAGTGAAACATGAGGAGTCCAAAGTCAAAGAGAGGACCAGGAGCCTCCTTCCCTGCCACCTGGCAAACAGATAGGGTCATCATTATGTATGGATTATTTTCTTTTGATTAATCATGTACGAGTATAGCCTATAACAAATCAAAAATAATGACAAATGTCCATCACATGTTACCAAAGCACCAAATAGATTTAAGAAAACTGCTTATTTTGTCTGATGGTATTCAAATTACATTCATATAAATGTAAAAATGACATATTTGAGCAGTTACAACCAGTAAATGTTTGGTATTTGTACTGAAAAAAGTTTCAGCAAAAGTAAACATATCACTTCCCACAAATAATACAAATGTTTATTTGACCAGTAAATAAGTGTAAATATTTTATTAAACTTTCAACCAAAAGCCAAGGCTGTAGCCAAGACATTAGAGCTACAGAGATCAAGTGCTTGATTCAGATTATATATTGTATAGTTATTTATTATTTTATGTTTTTTTAAGTCACTGAATGGGAGAGATTCTGGAAAAAAACTATCTTAAACTCATGAATGAATGAACACCGTGAGAGGTTTATTTTGAAGCCTGGAGAGGGGGTGTGAATATTCACTCCGTAGATATAATTCACTATTCACCACTAGGAGTCGCCAAAGTCAAATCTTCAAACCCAATCTGCACTGACTGAATAAAGTGAGTGAGATGAATTACAGAGGTTATACTACCATCATGTTGTGCTCCACCATGTTCCAGGCACGAGGGCGAAGCATCAGCACTGGAGCCTGAGATATGTGAGGAACATCTGTGAACACATGGAGGGAGGTGGGTCAGAGAATGTGTCGACCTTACGTACCTCTATATACAGTAATGTAGCTGTGCCAACATGAGTATTGATATAAAGTAAGCCACTTACTGGGGAACTGGTTGTGAACTGCCTTAAAGACGTTATGAATGCCTTTGATCTGGTTGTAATATGTAGGACAGTTCCCATCATCAAAGTCAACCTGAAACCAAAGAGAGAGTTCACAGAGTCTGAAGTTATGTGAGGACTCTGCAGAGATGCTAGTGGCTCTGTGAGGCTGTGCTTGTAGGGACCATGGTGCTTTGAGCTCAATGCTAAGCTTATTGTTAACATGCTCACAATGATAATGCTAACTAGTTGATATTTAGTATGTACGTTCTCTATATACATCTATGGTAATACCACGTTCACCATCTTGGTTCAACATGTTATCATGCTAACATCTGTACACAACTAGCCTACAGCATTACCATAAATGTTGTGTGTATGTAATTCTCACATCTACACATGTCTAACTGGAATCAAAGGATAGCATAGATGCACATGAACAGAGTTAAGTGTGATATGACTATACTGAAGTTACTTACTGCATATAAGTGTATTCATAAATGTGAATGATTTCCACATTAGCAATCGTAAATAGGCCTTTTATCACCCAACAGTATAGCATTCTATGTCCAGTTTCTGTGTTGGTGTCGTGTGGGCACAGGTGGTACCTGTATGCCTTGTGCTGATGACTGCAGAGCTTTAATGAAGCGCTGGGTGTCACAGGGAGCCAGGTCCCCGATATCCACATGTCTTCTCTGGAGCCTCGGGGGGACCGGGAGCACCCTCCAGGCGGGGTCCCTCCTGATATGTGTGGTACTTTCCAGAAAGCTTGGCAGGTCAGCTGAGAGGTCCAAATGGGCCTTTCTGGACACTCGGAGCTGCAGGACCTGAGTGGAGTATAAAAGACCCCTCATCGTGAGTGGGGTCAAGTCTTGCATTGAATTTTAAAAAGCCTTTTCAGCTGTCTTACCTGATCCACCTCCTCATCAAATGTGGAGATCAGCTCATGGAGGAAAAGGAGGGAGCCTGTGGTGAAAAGTGTCTCATATTCTGCTTCTAGACCTGAGGGGGGTGGGGACAGCTCCATGCTGACTGCACCCTGTGGACGAAAAGAGTCAACATATCATATCAGTGGGTCCAGGTCAATCTCCATATTTGCAGAAATTGGGCTCATTTTAGTGGCCCTAAAAAACAACAATAAATAATAAATAAAACTTAAACTTAAAAACTTAAACACACATGCTGGTGATGGATACAAACAGTCACAGAATTAGTGGTACAACATGGAGAAGTTGAAGAAGTTCTAACTGTATGCAAATGTGATCTGACTCACAGTAGCACTCGTTTCTGATTCCCTAAGGAAACAGTAGCACAGGTCTACTTCACTCTACATAAACCTGCATTTATGAACTTTTTGGCCACTTTGAGGCAGTGGAACCAGCTATAAAGAACATATTTGTTTGACATATTATCACCTCATAAAGTTGTTATGGCAAACAACTTCCTTATTATGCCTTCAACTTAAAGGGAGCAACATGACCATTCACTCTTGTGGGACATGAAACCAATGGGATGAAAGATGCTGAAAGGCCTGAAAGAGCTGCATTGATGGTAATAATTGTCTGGGGGTTCATTACCATGAGTGAGCATGTTCACATTATAATAATAAATAAATAAAATATAATAAAGAATATAAAAAGTCCATGAGGAATATGTTTCAAGAGCACCCAGTAGCTCACTGGTTACAGCACATGCCACCTAACTTTGATTCAAGCACCAAAACATGTTGTCATTCAGGTTTCTTTACCACTTTCAGTCACAAGAAATTCCTAAGGCTTGTCAAAGTAAACATGTGCCTGAAACAGAACACTAGTGCTAATGAAACTGCTCAGAAAATTCACCATACTTTGGAATTCTTTACTGTCCATTAAGTATATTTAGCTGCAAAATAAAGCAATGCAATGGTACTCACAGACATGAGGACAGGTCTCTGTTCACGCAGTAGAAGTGGACTTTGGTTATGCGCTCACTTTGGGCAGTGATTAAACAGGAAGATATTTGTTTTTATGCAGAGTTTAAAGTCCTATGTGAAGATTCATTGACTTTTGAGGCGATTTAAACACTGTACATGCCCAATATTGGGAATTTGGTCAGATTACTAATGCTGTAGGCATAGGTGGTATGAGAAATGTTTGATTTTATTGTATTGGAAATTAATAGATGTAATTGGAAATTACATGAAAATCTCAAACTTGGATCCAGCATTCCTCAGTTTGCTTTATCCATTCTACAACAGTCCAGTTCTAACCAGTCTCAGCCTGAGCAAACCCCTGCTTTGATCTCTTAGCAAAGGAAACCTAGAGACTAAACAAGCCTTCACTAAGTCTTCTTAGTACTGTTCAAAGTTATGTTGGCTCTCCTTCCGTCCCTTTCAATATTTCAATATCTGTTTCTGTACTGTATATGTCTTAAGTAAGAATCAAGATCCATATACTTTACATCTTTGTTTTGGCCGTTTCTTTGTTTGAGTTTTTGGTTCCTAAAGATACCAAGGACCTTAGCCTCCTGCAGTGTTTTAGAGCACTGGTTCCAAGTCTTTCCGGCTTGTACCCTCTTTTTTTGAATCAATTGTGACCCCTTTTCACAGGTTGTGGCTCTAGTGGGGTCATGGGTTGTGAGCAGCAATTTTTACATCTCGGATTATTCTACATTTAATTTTTTTAGAGGACTGGAGAGGTGAGAGCCCCTGTGACCCTTTTAAATTTTTCTTGTAGCTCCTTGGCGCTAATTATGTTATCTCAGGTCCTGATTTAAGGTAGTGAAGAATGCAATATCCCGGTAACACCTGGGAATTTCTTTAAATTTGGCACAAACATCCACTTGGACTTAAGAATGACCTGATAAGAATTTCTTCGTCAAAGGTCAATATGACCTCACAAAACACATTTGGCCCTAACTCAAGAATCAACATGGTAATTATGACAATACCACACAAATGTATAATAGAATAAAATGATAAAGGGACGTTTTGGTTGGACAGACAATGCCAATAAATTTTTCTGAAGGAGACACTGTGGGGTTTTTTTTAGGGGGGGGGTTACTTATCTGATGTTAGGGTCCAAGGACAGAGGGTGTATTCTCTACAGATTGTGAAGCCTTCTGAGGCAAACTAGTGATATTGGGCTGTCCAAATAAAACTTATTGAATTGAACTAAAAATTGAACTGTGTACACATGTACTCATGTACACTAGAAACAATTAGAAACGTATAGCATCTAGTGACTGAAAAGGTTGCTACCATACTTATTACATAGGGTACATCCCAAGTCTCTTCATTGCATCCCCGTTTCCCTCACTTGGGTCCTTTCCTTGCGTCTTAGTCCCTCCCACCAGGGATACATGGAGGAAACCATGTGAGGAGAGAGGAAACAAGGAAATATGTTTTAAGAGACATGAGACGTCCTTTCCTTAGTTGTGTCACGTGAAGCAACGTCTGTTTCTGATGACGGTGGCCGCTGATCACAGCTGGATCAGCTGTCAGTCGGCTTTAGCAGCTGGAGAGACTTTTGAGAAGTTTGTGTCTGTACACATGATCACTGTACTTAATATTATTATCTAATAATACTAATAACTGATAAAGACATACAATTATCTTCACTGCCAGATTAGAGGTGTTGTATCTCTGTAACCTGTTAACAAACTGTGCCCTGTGTTCTGTTTATAAGCACAAGATCGATTTCTATTGGCGGAATGTGTTATTTATGAATTATTTGCGTCTGTACGTTTTGAAATTCAGATTGTGACATCATTATTAATTAACCCAAACTATGATTATGGTTTCTCTTGACTACTGGAATTAATTTATTAGGCTCGATGTTTCAGGTTAAATTGAAATGATAAAACTCATCAAACCTGACACTCAGGAATGATCAGCCTCACGTGACTGAATGGAAATGATGATAAATAATGTAAAAAGTGTTTTGTCTCCCCAGCTCTCTCTGACTTTAGTTGTATCCATAATAAAAGTTATTGAGGGAAATATCAGATCATGAAAAGACAAATCTTTCCAATAAATGAAGAAAATTGTTTGTGGTCCTTTTGTTGTTCAGTCTACAATGAACATACATTTAAACCAGATGGTGAATCAGAAAACTAATCAAATATAAATCTTGAGTTTAATCTGCGATCCGTCTTCACTGTTTACATGTTGAAAAAAATCAGATCAGTCCGATTGGCTGCGTCCAATCACATAACTGATGAACAATGAGGGGGCGTGTCGGCCGTTAAAACATTTCCTGGAAGGCTGTTCTCGTGCGTCCTCGATCATGGCTCCTCGGAGATCCCTCCTCTCTCCTCGAGCCTCGCTAGTCCGAACTAAATAAGAGCTTTGGGACGGTCGTCAATATGGCGGTGCAGAACAACTTCTGGTTCACGCGAGGATCGGGGAAATGACAATTAAGAGACTTGGGAGTTGCTGCTGTTTACCGTCGCCAGGAAGTATTTTACTTAGAAAAAAATGAATCGCAAGCTTTACGTGTTTCCGTATCCGCTTTACGCCACTTCAGTCCCATTAGGCTCGTTCGAGTTGAACTGCGTCTCGCCTGGAAAGCAGACGAGAGCAGGCGGACGTAGAAAGGGGCGTTGACAAAGAACTGCGTTCAAGTCGGACCGTTTTCAGCCGCCTGCTTACATCAGTCATACATCAGTTACCACAATTAAATATAGATTTATGGATCTAAAGACCCTAAAACTGGTAGAATAGCAGCAGCAGCAGTGATCCCAGAATTCCATTATGAGTGTGGGAAGAGCCTGAGTGATGATTTATCTGTGTTTACATGTGAGATGATGGCCATATAGTTATTGCCTTACAGTGGGTAGAGGACGTCAGGCCAGAGAGAGTGGTGATTGCATCAGACTCATGTGCAGTGCTAACGAGTTTGACATTGTGCCACTCCAGAAGCAGAGAGGATTTACTGTTTGAAATACTACAATCATTTTTAAGAATCCATCAAATGCGGATAGCGGTTCATTTAGTGTGGGTCCATGTTGGAGTCGATGGCAATGAGAAGGCAGATAAAGCAGCAAAAAGGGCTTTGAAGAGTGGGAAAAATAACGTTAATGTAAATATAAGTAAGTCAGAAGCTAAAGTGGTGATTAAGGGACAAATTAAAAAGATATGTCAGAACGAATGTAATAAAGGGAGTAAAGGAAGATATCTGTTTAAAAATAAACCATTGGTTGGGAGTGCAGGATCTAGTGGACGAACTAGAAAAGAGGAGACGATTATGACAAGAATAAGGAATGGCCATACTGGTCTGAACAGTTCCCTCGATGTTATTAGAAAGCATAATAATGGAAAGTGTACATTTTGTGGATAAGAAGAAACCGTGGACCATGTTTTATTGTCCAGTCAGAGGTACGAGTCAGAGAGAGACGTTTTGAAAAAAGGTCTAAGAGAGATTGGAGAGGAAAGCTTTAGTGACAAATGTTGGAAACTTTTTCTGGAATATTTAGAGTCAACAACACTAATGAATAGAATTTGAGAAAGAAATGTATTATTATGTATGTATGTGTGTGTATATATGTATATGTATTTATTTTCGTTTGGTTGTCGTGTTAGAGTCCTTAGTCCACACTCCAGATCAGTGGGAGGCGGTAATGCACCCGAAAGCTGTTTGCCAACCGCCAAAAAAAGCAAAAGAAAGAAGAAGAAGAAGCAGGCGGCTGAAAACGGTCCGACTTGAACGCAGTTATTTGTCAACGCCCCTTTCTACGTCCGCCTGCTCTCGTCTGCTTTCCAGGCGAGGCGCAGTTCAACTCGAACGAGCCTATTGACAGCTAACGTCGCCGGTGTGAGTAGCGGTGCAAACACGTTCATGAAAAGCCATGGAGCACAAGGCACAGATACAAGAAGCGATTAAAATCCAAGGGGAAGTCGTTCGGAAGTTAAAGTCAGAGAAGGCGAGCAAAGATCAGGTCAGTACTGAGAGTAAGCGCTGATCTTTAAGGCGACATCTTAACATGCGGTGACCAGCGTGTCCAATTGGCATTTCACGTTAGGTTGAGAACAGCGTTGCTTCAGCCCCGATAAACGTAGAATACCGTAACTCATTCTGCATAGCTAGCAGGAAACCCCCAGATCAAACTGTTTGTTTAATTATGGCGGCCTTTAGAATGCTGTCCACAATTGATTCATTATGAGTCACTTCGTTAATGTGCACTAATGGTTACATATATTGATGAAACTCGTATAATGAAATATTTTCAGTGATAAGTGAGTCAACTCTAAATAGCTCTTAATTTGAGCGATACTTGGATACTAACCGAAGTATAAAAACGACATAGCAGCTTGCTAGCTCTACGCACTGGGAGCTCTAGCTAGATATTTATCTAGCCTGCTAACACACGCTGCTTTAAAAATGTACATTTCAGGTGACGTTAGAAGGGACTGCTCGTCACTTTGTTCCTGACGGTGATTTCATTCAGCCAGACCGGCTAACTGCTAGCTTGCTAGTCGCCTCAAATGGAAGGGCTAGCTAACTAGCCCCGTTCGCTAACCGCCCTCCTTAGTTGTGTCGACTTAAGGTTAGCTAGCTAGCTAGTGTTAACACCGACTCAAAACCCAAACAAGTTGGACGTTTTAAGATAACCCTGTCGCGATTCGTTCAGACATGAACTTTAGTGTGTGCAAATAAAACATGTCTGCGCATAGGTTAGTTGATGCAATAGCTCTCCTTATTAACGCAGGCAGGCGTTGTGTGACAGCTTGTGACAATTTAACGTTAGAATAGGTAACATTAGTTAGCTATTAGGTAACCGGGTGTCATCAGTTGCCACTATACCAGTAATGTGAAGTGTCTTTATTATCTGCCAGCTCACAGATTCTTACTGAAGACCAGCTCTATGTGCTGCTTCTTGTCTCCGCTGTTTGAAACTACTGGTCCTTCCACTGGTATTTAACATCGTCCTCTGTGCACCATAGAGGATGTTGCAGCAGGTGGAGGAATTCTGAGGTCTTGTGTGACATAAATGCTTCTGAATGAAAGTTTAAAACCTTAAAGATTGAAAGCTAGAGTGGTTTCTCAGTGAATGTCTCAGCTGAATAGCAGGCTCGATCCTTTCAGGTGTTTTTTCTCTGTAAGCTTTCTGCCCTCCTTTGATTGTCTTGTTTGTCTGAATTCTTTGCTGTTATGTCAGGGAGTCATTGAGAGCTGTCTTTTACCAACACCACATAATCACCAGTGACACACACAACCTCTGGAGCGCTGATTGTTGTAAGTTAGAGTGGAAAGCATAATAGGTGTTTTTCACAGTAAACATTAAGATTTAATACATATCATAGTAGGCAGAGCACAGGCGTTACTAATGACATAAACCATGTCTCTGTTCTATTCAAGTGTCTAGTAAGCAGGCAGTGTGACAGTGATGCACAATACCAGTACTCTGAAAGTGAGGCAGCTCATTCCACACTACACTTGTGTATATGACAATACAAGAAGCATTAGATGCCTAAAATCTTCTCCAACAAAACTTAGTTTTTTCATTTAACAAAAGACAGATGAAGACACTTTTCAAATGTTAAATGTTCTATAAAGTCAAACAGCACTTAGCCGTAAGAACCTTCCCTCAGTTGAAAACTCACACAAATTCAGTAAATGGGACTACCATTGTGGTCAATCAGCATTCGATGAACACATTTGGTACTTGACATTTTTCAAATTGTATTAGGAAAAAATCTTCAATTAGCCCAGGTTTAAATGTAAGGAGTTTGAAGTGTGTGTGTGTGGCTTCTTTGATTGACTTGGTCTCATGTGATCTCATGTTCTGTCCTCCACGCTGTGATGATGATGATGATGGGTCATACCCTGCCCCCCCCTAGTGCTAGGGTTGCTTACCACTTTTCTCCTGTTCTTCCTGCCGGACCCTCCATGACCTCGGCCTGCCTCACCCTTCATCACCATCATCTACCTCGCTTCCTGGTGAATCCAACCCTCCGGACATCGTTGCTCAACTGGTTCTACTTCTACTGACTCTTGTCATTGGCTGCTGTGGCTGGCCCTGTACAATACCACTGGACATTGCTGTACCCATGATGCACTCCTGAACTTTCATCTGTCCAATTCCTGGACTTGTTTTTTATATTTTTTGTCCGTGCTGTGCGCTGACCATGCTGGGCATGTTCTGTGTTCGTGCTGGCTCTGGTCTGATGGGCTTTCGGGCGGCACCACGGGTCCGATCTCTGCATTCTTTCCCTGGGATCACTGTGGCTCAGGTAGGCCTCTGGTGCTGTGTGTGTTTGTTCCTGTAATATTATGTAGCCTGTACTTTTACAAGTTTCTTGCCAATGTTGACCAACGCAGTATGGCATTTATGTAAGTGTTCACAAAGTTCTTATCTTCTGGTGTGTGTGTTGCAGATTGATGAAGAGGTAGCCAAACTGCTGGAGCTGAAGGCTCAGATAGGAGGAGACGATGGCAAACATCAGTTTGTCCTCAAGACGGCAAAGGTAGGACCACAGTTCTGCTGGTTTCAAACACACACGTGCATTTACTGAGTCGAGCACTGTTGCAATAGAAAACCAAAAGGAGTATGTGTTAATGAGACCAAATTCATACCTGGTGTTAAAATATGAACTGTATCTGGACACCTTTTGAATCTTGGATATCTATTTGGACAAGGAGAAACGCATGGCAATGAAGGTATACATGCACAAGTTTCAGTGTGGCTCGCATCGTGATCAGATCTCAGCCTGGTGTAAATTCCATCCACACAGTTTGAACACATTCTTACTGCTTTTTGTCAAAGGAGTACGGTGGCTTTGAAGAGAGCGTAGATAACCGCTTCAGTTCAGTCAGAAAGGGCTGTCGCATGGCAAAATATTGTAAATAAAGTGCACACTGAAAGTGATATTTCTTTTTTTTTGACTATGCATAAGTACTTCACATGACACCACTTCAAAAAAATCCAAACTTCAATACCGAGTGAAAAGCTCTTAGTTTGGTTCAAGCTAAAGTGTTGCGTTGTTAAAATATCTCATTGTTGTGTATCACTGTTGATCTTTTATGACCATAACTTGGTACACCAGAATATTTCCAAACACAGTTCTTTATTTTAATCACAATCTGAGCCTGTTATTGGTATGATTACATTGTAGCCTGTTAGTAGCTGCTGTTAGCATTGTTTTCCCTCTTAGTCAATTAGACACAAAAACATGAGAAACTAGAATTCAGGTTGAAAAGTACTGAAGTTACCCTTTGACTTGAAAAATGCCACAAAACAGTAACTGACACCAAGCTACAGAAGAAAACATTGTTATAAGTCGTTTGTAATGTTCTCTCAGCCAGTGGATTTACTACAACCCTGCTGATGGATTCTCACCAAATAAACATTTATTTGAAGCAGCTGAAAATGTACTTGCCGGTCAGATTGAAACCCAACAAATGTGTTTCTGTGTCAGGGAACGAGGGACTACAACCCAAAGCAGATGGCCATCAGAGAGAGAGTCTTCAGCACCATCATCGGCTGCTTCAAACGCCACGGAGCAGAAACAATCGACACACCTGTTTTTGAACTGAAGGTACATTTTCACAACACAATTGAACAGGTTTGCCGCTCGGTGCATGTGAACATGAACGTCTTGCATTCAAACACGGTATCTTGTGATGTCCCTGTGGTGGCCAGGAAACGTTGACGGGGAAGTATGGAGAAGAGTCCAAGCTCATCTACGACCTGAAGGACCAAGGAGGAGAGCTGCTGTCCCTCAGATATGACCTCACCGTATCCTTCAAAGACACACAGCAAGGAGCACCAGGAACATGGAGGAGACCCACTGTTCAGTCTACACTAGATAACTGGACTCAACAGATATGACATGCTCATGTCAGTCGATTTCTCTTTAACACACAGACGTCTTTGACATAAACACTGTAACCTCTTCACACCCTGTTGGTGGTAGTTCATGTTTAAATGTTTTAAACTAAGATGCTGGCCGGATATCACACACTGCACCTTCTATGTTGCCTCAACACAAACGACAAATCTCAAATGTCAGTAAAAAGACTCCTATTTCCGAGTGAAGCTTGTAAAGTCTGGCAAACACATATCAGTTAAAGGTAGCACTGGATATCGGTCTGACGACTGGTAAGAATCTAAATTGCTGGGCTTCAGAAGACTGTCTTCTCTGTGAGATGCTCGCTGTTTACCGTCCAGACTTCAGATGTGAGACTGGAGTTGGTGTGAGAGACAACATGTACATCTGGATTCTTTCGCGAGTAGTCACTTTACAAGTTCATTTTGAACCAATGAAAATCTAAATCCTCGTGGATAGCCGGTGGGTTCCCAGATTACAGACAGAAATGACATGCCGTCGTGTCAATAAGATAAATAACATAAGGCTATTTAGTTTGTTTAATAAAAGAACAAGGTATATACCTGTTCTATAGGAAAGGGAACCTTAAATGACTTCTGTTGTGATCTGGCGCTATACAGAAAATAAAATGAAACAAAATTAACTCGACCTTCAAGGGGGGGGCGGAGGGTGCCCCCCCAACACTGGTCTGGACCTCAATGGTTGGTGACTTTATGTTAACTACACATCCACAGTACTCAGTGGATCAAAGATGAGTTAAGTCATTATGAACGGGTCAAACGGCTACATCCACTTTAGAACGAGATATATTTGGCTGCTGGAGGAAACTCTGGTACAGTGTGTGTAATTCTGCAGACACATGCCGGTTTTCTGAATAAGACTTAGTTTGAAAACAGTAATTATCCATTTGATCATTTGTCTGTCGTCACATTAAGGTAAGTTTTTATTCAGTGAAGAAATATGGAATTACATTTCGTCATTCGGTCTCTTTATTTTCAAAGGTTACTTTCATTACAGTCATTTTAGTCTTTTCATCGTGAAAAGAAAAAGTTGTCAACGAGTACTGCTTTAAAGTTTTTGTTGATGAGTAACACTGCCACATAAACTCCTGTATTTGGATTCCCTCCATCAAAGCAAAGAGCCGTGTGTTGTCCTTGACCCGCCCTCTTCAGGTGCCCTTTGCCCGCTACCTGGCCATGAACAAGATCACCAACATCAAGCGGTACCACATCGCTAAGGTCTACCGCCGCGACAACCCAGCCATGACCCGCGGACGCTACCGAGAGTTCTACCAGTGTGTGAGTCGTCCTCCGATACATGTGTTGACTCCTGACCGGGACCACGCAGCGAATATCTGGTCCGACCTGACTTACTCCACTTAGACAATGAACTAATGAATGTTTGTGTGTGTTTCAGGACTTTGACATAGCAGGGCAGTATGACGCTATGATTCCAGATGCAGAGTGTCTGAAGATTGTCTATGAAATCCTTAGTGGGCTGGACCTCGGAGACTTCCGGATCAAGGTTGGTCACGTCCATTCACTAACATTTACAGATGAAACTTGTAGACTGGTCAGCAGGTGTCATCTCTGTGTCATCTTAGCTTGAACCTCTGGACTTGGACACACTGAAGTGAAGATTACTTCACTTCAGTGTGTCCTAAACACAGCCACCAGATGTTAAACCAGATCTCATATCGCCCCTATTTTAGCGAAGTGAATTTAACATTCTGTTCTGTATGGCTGAGCTTCTCATTCCTTACGGATCAACCTGTAGCCTCTGATAAGGCCACTACCTGGTCCAGGCTGAAGACAGAGGGGGACAGGGTGTTTGCTGTTCGGACTCCAACCCTTTGGAATAGGAGCTGTATAATTAAAGTTGTTGTTGTTGTTATTATTAATTATCACATCCTCGGTGTCCAGGTCAACGACAGACGTATTCTTGATGGAATGTTTGCTGTGTGTGGTGTTCCAGATGACAAGTTCCGCACCATCTGTTCAACAGTGGATAAACTGGACAAGGTATGTGAACATGCTGAGCTTTTCAGTTCCAGACTCAATGATGAAAAGCTGAAACTCCATGTAGTCGATCTATTGACATGGAGACAACACTTTGAGACTAAACAGACGGACTGTGGTTAGTGTGATGAATCCTTCGTTCTTTCATCTTCTCCCCATCAATCCTCAATATCTGGCTTTGACCCATCTCCTTGTCCAAACCCAGATGACCTGGGAGGATGTGAGGAAGGAGATGGTGAATGAGAAGGGCCTGTCAGAGGAGGCAGCCGACCAGATTGGGGGGTACGTCAGTTTACAAGGTGAGACTTTACCCAAATGCACACAAGATGTGAGACATCAGTGGCATGTTGGTCACTAGTGAGGCATTCTTCCGTTCAATCTTTTTTGTTTTTGCCTTTTTGACAGAGGACAGTGTAGAAATAAGGAATGGGGGGGGGGGGCAACAAAGGTCCCACGGCTTGAATTGAACCCAGGACGTTATATATGTTGTACATTGTAACCAACTTTGACTTACACACAGACAATTACAGAGCTTTGTTGTTTCTTTTTGCTCTTTATCATTGTTGTGAGGCTCACAACCTCCTCACTCATCAGCCTGGATCCCAGCAGCAGCAGGCAGGTGATCTCATGATAAACCCACCAACACCAGCTGTGGGTTGGTGGAGACCAAGAAGGAGCATTGAAGGAGTATTGGACTTCCATTCCCCAGGTGTACACAAACAGATCTCTGCTAGATGTGTAAATAGGCAACTGTGTGTGTTGCAGGTGGAATGGACTTAGCAGAGCGCCTCCTCCAGGACCAGAAGATGTCTCGCAGTAAGCAGGCCTGTGCTGGCCTGTCCGACATCAAGCTGCTCTTCACCTACCTGCAGCTCTTCCAGGTCACAGACAAGGTGAGACATGCTGTCATTCATGCATCCCATACAATTTCTTCCATAATAATGGTTGTGTTTTTATGCACTGAAGTCATTTCTTTGTCATCATACCTTCTACTTTCTTCTCTCTTTACAATGTAACTGGTATCTGTCTGTTCTGATCTGGTATCTTTTCTATCTTTGCTCTCTCCTCTTCATCGTCTCAGGTGGTGTTTGACCTCAGTCTGGCTCGGGGTCTGGACTACTACACAGGAATCATTTATGAGGCGGTGCTGACTCAGGCGGGTGTGGCCCTGGTGTCCACTGAAGCCCAAAATGGGGCGCCTGCAGAAGAGAGTGTGAGTGTGGGCAGCGTGGCCGGCGGTGGTCGATACGACGGCCTAGTGGGCATGTTTGACCCCAAGGGTAGGAAAGTGCCGTGTGTGGGCGTCAGCATCGGCATCGAGAGGATCTTCTCCATCATGGAGCAGAAGGCTGAGGTAAATGCGTCCGCTGTGATCTGTTACATAGAAATGATTATAGCCTCTTTGAGGAACATCACAGGGACTAAATGAAGTTCCGGGGACATTTTGTCCCCTGAAAAGGACCTGGTCAGGAGAGAGTACTTTCTCAATGTACAAGAATGGGCTGAAGGAACCCTCTTAGTTCCTTGAAAACGAACCCCAAACTAAAAATACCAGGAACTTCTTGGTGGAAATGCAGCTTTACAAGAAAACCTAATTTTTCTGACAGTTATTCTTTCTTCAAAAAATCTGACCTGTTTCAGGTCGAAGTATCAAGGACTGGTATCAAGTTTGTGTAGATGTCCAGACTCTAACAGTGTTGTGTTGTTCAGGCCTCAGCAGAGAAGGTCCGCACCACAGAGGTTCAGGTCATGGTGGCGTCAGCTCAGAAGAACCTGCTGGAGGAAAGACTCCAACTTGTCACTGAGCTCTGGAATGCTGGCATTAAGGTGTGTGTGTGTGAGAGAAGGAGAGTGTGTTGTTTGTTCTGTATAGTTTTATTTCCTTTATTACTTTGGTCTCTTGGCGAACATGTTAGCTGATACAGCCGACTTTAAATTAGTCTGGGATCACATTTTTGTGAAGAGGTCATGTGGCCTGACCATCACTTCCACCACAGATATCAGATTAACCCATTAACCTCACATGATAGTGTTTCATATTTGTATGTGTTCTTCTCAAAGTGAATTAGTTTGAATTAACTACATCTATAATATGATAATATCAGTATTTATTAACTACTACAATAACTTTTAGGTCAGTCCGAATGACATGCATTAGTTACCTCTGTTCGTGGTCCACTATCATCAGTCTGAATGTGGTGTTTTCCTCATGGCTGGTTATAACTTGTAAATACAGCAGCTTGTGGCTTCAGTTAGTAGGTTCAGCTGAAAGCAGTTGAGCTACAGTTTGACCTCCAGTAGACCAGACAGGCGTACCAGTACGGGAGCAAAGTAATGTACTACTGTGGACGTATTTTAAAGATTTGATCTCAGTTATATTGTCATCTCTTCAGCTCGATGTCAGACAGCACTTTCTGTCCAGGGACAACCTCCGGTTCTGCCGAGTGAAGCCGATGAGGAAGTGTCTTAAAGCTGCATTCTCTCTAGTGTCCACCAGGGGGCGACTCCTCTGGTTGTATAGAAGTCTATGAGAAAATGACTCTACTTCTCTCTTGATTTATTACCTCAGTAAACATTGTAAACATGAGTTTATGGTCTCAATCTCAAGTTTCAAGTCAAAGGCAGTCCCTCACATGGAGGTGTTTGTAATTTCACCATGGAGTTTTTTTGTGTCATATCTTGTGGTTCAGGCAGTACTGGTAGAGTGGACATTTCTTTCAGTGTAGGGATTTTTGCAAGGGACTGCTTGACGGAGGTATGTGATTTGGGAGAGAGAGTAACTTGGAAAGATCTTTTTTGACAGCAATGTCTTTTTTTCACATAAATTCCACAATAAATTTGGTTTTGATCTGTGAGCCCCACTTTGTTCTAAGATACAATGCTGTCATTTAGAACTGACTATTGAGACTTTTAATTCTGAAAAGTAGTGTCAACTGACTCCTGTGTGTCGGCATATATCCAGGCAGAGGTGATGTACAAGAAGAACCCCAAACTGCTGAGTCAGCTGCAGCACTGCGAGGAGTCTGGGATCCCACTGGTGGCCATACTGGGAGAACAGGAGCTGAAGGATGGAGTGGTGAAGCTCCGCGTTGTGGCCTCCAGGGAGGAGGTACGAGTCCTACAGAACACACACACACAGAAAAGTCATTTGAATTGATTTTATTTACATTAAGATGGACGATATGACAGCTTCCCAAAATTAAGTAAAAACATCTCGATCGCCAGTATAGGTCGTAACCCCGCCCCCTCTATGTTAGCGTATGGGACATGGACCAAACCAAGAAAGAACACATCAAATATGTTTTTCCAAAAGATGGTTTCTCTCATTTTAGGTAGTTCTTATCACGTGTGAGTTCAAGTGTTAATTTTTCTAGGTTTTAATTAGTTATTAGTTATTTGATTCTGTAAGAAGGGGGTGTGACGTTGTGATTGACAGCTGCTCTGAGTGAACTGTTTTAGATAGAGAAGGAACGTTGAGAGGAGATGTAACTTAAACATTCCATAACTGTCATTGTCTTTTTCAGACTAGATCAATATCGGAACCGTAGACGTGTGAAATAGAGCATGTCGGTTTGATCATAAAGGTATTTATAGAGATAGCTGGTTAGTTATAGTGTCTTTCTCACTGTGGTGCTGCAGTCGGATAAGTATAGCAGCTGCCTGGCTCTCATGCTAACCAGCTGCCTGGCTCTCGTGCTAACCAGCTTTCACAATATAGTTAGAAACTCTAAGCTAAATAAAAATAGTAAGGTAGCATGATGGAGGATTTCAGTACCACCAACCAGCCAGCCTTGATCTAGTTCTCCAAGGGTTTATGAAGAGGGGAGTGAGGATACGTTGCTGTGAGGTGCACATGGCTCACACCCTTTGTGCCTACACACACTGCTGTTTACATGGTCAGAACTTCGTTTCAGGACTAACCTCACTGTCCTTGTCTTCTCTCCACAGGTCGATGTCTCCAGAGCAGCTCTTATAGAGGAGATCCGGAGGAGGACCTCTGAGGCCTAGTCCTCCCCTTCTGTTCAGCTACTACCACCGATCGCTTCAAACAGACACTCTGCAGAGCCTCACACACCGTGACTCTAAGTGTGAACATGAAGAGCTTCTTGAAAGGAAACACCGTCATAAAAAACTAATTTTAGAATGATTTGTTGCAGTTGACATGTGTTCTGGATTATGTCTAAACGATACGTTCTTGCTTTGTGTCAACATTGTATAATAGTGAGGAACAAATCATTGATGTTAACTATTCAAGTCAAGGTTTCTTATTTTCCATAAAGCTGCTGGAGATCAGTTTAATCAGATTCATTAGCTAAATCTTTTTGTTCATCTGTCCAGGACCAAGATGACAGACCATGTTAGAGACATTTACTTCCTGAACCCATCACATGATTTACTGCAGTTCAACTCCTCACAAAAAAGGCTCATGTCTGCCTGTATCAAAGATGGCTGTACTGTAAGTGTCTGAAATAAACGCATCATTCTGCTCAATATCAAACAGCTGCTGTGTTGATACAAAGTTGTGTGCTTTTGTCTATAGACGCTAGTTATTGTCGCTGTAAACCCCCCCCCCCCCCCCATCAATACTGTGATATAGAGTTTGGATCATATCACCCATCCCTATCCAAACCACAGAAGACGGAAGACATTTTTTTTCTTTTCAAAAAAAGATTGAGTGATGTCTTCAATGATGTGTGAAATCTGTTACATTTGCTTACGTAACATTACAAACATTCATAGTGCGAGCAATAACCATATCACTTTGTAAACTTTTACTCTCTTTTAATCAAAAGCTTTGACAAAAATATGGATTCCTTTGATGGAACGTTGGGAGAGGATGTAGTGTTTGTTTGACAAAGTTATGCTATAAATATTCACCTAACGTTCTCATACCATCCCTAGTTATGAATGTAAGGGCCGACTGATGGAGTAGCGCTAGGAGAGCATCTGAATTACATCTCCATGATGGATAAAAAGGTTTATTGAACTATCTTGGGACTTAATTTCTATGTTTCTTGAAGGACATCGAGCCATAAACCAAGATATTATATACCTACATATATATATACCTACCTATATGTAGGTATACCTACATATGTGTATATATATAAGAGGCTACATTTTCAATTAGTGTCCCATTAAGAGTAATAATACTCATTTCAGTGGGACTTGTAAGTTTTCTAGAGAACAGCATGTGTTCGGTTTTATCTGAATTTAACAGTAATTTAGATCAATGAAAGGTAAGTTTTGAATGGTTTCTAGGCAACAGAGGGTGCTGTTGTATATAAAATTGCATCATCTACAGATGAACTACCATTTCTAACTTTACTCCTTTCTCACTCTTAAAGCTAGACTAAACGTCATCAGCCACAACAGCTTGTACCAACGACATAATTTTTCCTCAAATCCAATAGATTCTAGACATTTCAAAATAATTTGATCAACAGTATTGATAAGTCAATAAAAAGATCAGCGTGAATGCAACTTAATTCAAGATCTGATGCTCCCGTCAGTTCTACTCCCGGTCTAAAACCTGGTACCAGTGTTCTGATAAAAACATTCTCACCTGATAGCTAACCAGTTTCCCAAACACTTCAGCTCGACGTGATCATTTGGAAATTGTTTGGTTGTCATACACAAGTCATAACTAATATAGTAGTTTGTTGTTAAAAGTCATAGCATGATGTCCCATAAAAAATATAGTATATGCTATATAAATGCCATAATGTCAAAGAATAGTATGCCATAAAATTATAGTATGTCATAGAAAATCTCATAGTACAACATAAAAATGCCATAAAGTGTGATAGTATAATATGTCATTAAATAGTATGTCCAATAAGTCTTATTATAGTGTCCAAAAAATTCATAGTATAGTTTGTTGAAATAAAGTCAGAAAAATGTCATATTGTAGTATGCCATGAAATGTCAGATTATAGTTTGTCATAAAATATATTATATATCCAAATAAGTTATAGTTTGAGTCTAACCACCTTAACCTCAGCCCTTTAGAAATGTTTCATCCAAATATGGTTGTTGTTCAATTGTTGTAATTTCAGGTCCTACAGCAATTAAATGCTCTCTATCTTAAAAGTTCTAAAAGGGTTGAGACATAAGATGCAGCATAATAAATCCTCTGTGATTCAAAGTTATAAAAAACTGAAACACGAGGAAGAGTGAATAGAAGCACTATAAGCCTGAATAATATAGATACATAGAAAATAATAATATAATATGTGACCCATGTTGCCCTATTTAATGTTCGGTTCCAAACATAGTTATCATGTTCCACACACTTTGTTCAGTGTCATATACTGTGAGCAGCCTGTTCATGTTGTCCTTTAGTCTTCATGCAGAAACAGCAGAGAGCCACAGAATTGAACCCCGAGAGGACTGGACCCCGAGTGGACTAGACCTTGAGAGGACTGGACCGCAGGGAGAAGGTGGGAAACATTACTGATGAAACAAATCTCCAAACACCATCTTTCTTGGTTTTCCTTCTTGGCAGAGGCTTCACAGTCCAACTCAAAGTGTCTTTTTGAGCCGTGACGTCTGTGTCCTTTTGGTCCCATTTGTCTGGGGACAGTCAAGACAATAAAGCATTCTTGAAACTCCAAGTCACCGCCTGGATGTTTTACAGCAGCCCACTAATTATTTATATTCCTAAATGCTTAGGAAGGGTTAAATGCAGAGGTCACATTTCATGAATGTAGCTGTATGTAAATGAGGATGGTAATAATGACAGAGAGAGGTTTTCTGTATTATTGTGACCGCTCAAACAAAGGTTCTGATGTGTGTTGGTTGTAAATGTCAATCTAATTAACTTTAAGTCCATGTTGAGCACACCATGTTATCTCACTATGATCAACAGACACTTCACAGGTCCATTACACTGCAGTCTCACATTACAACAAAGTTTAACGCTTCACGACCACCTCTCTGTTCAGGAACTGAAAACATCTCTTATACACATAGCTTTAATCATACAGGTTGACATACCGTAGGATAAACTTTGCTCCAATAAACATGAGCCGATCACTGATGAACCTCCTCACGTCCAGGTTACATGGAGGTACTGCTCCCCTCACAGGTGACGGAGGCCACTACACTGTATTTGAATCCTGGCAGCAACTCTCAAGGTTCTCATGTGGCCTCGACTTTCTAATCTTGGTGTTTTTGTAAACCTTAATCCTCCAGAAACGCGTCTAACCCAAACCCTTACCCCAACCTACAGCTGGACAGATGTGCACTGATGCCCTTCCTTTCCTTTATCTTCTACACATTTGACTGCACAGCTTGTGACTGTGCAGTCAAATGTGTGACTTGTGAAGTCCAAACCCAACCAAAGACCTGATGGAGGCTTCTTTGTATACTCTGTCCACACGTGGAGAACCAGCACCGGGACAACCCTAAGTGTTGGCTGAAGGTATTTTAATCTTGTTCTGCTTTCTCTTGAGCTGATCACTGAATCAGACAGCAACTCTTATGGTGTAGTTTGTCTACCTACCTGGTTGATCCTGCCAGTAGCATATGCTTGTCTCAAAGATTAAGCCATGCAAGTCTAAGTTCAATAATCAAAACATGAATGAAGATTTGTTTGTTTTTTGGTTTGTTCCTTTAGACCTGATCATCTTTCCTTAGTCTTTGGAATAGTAACAGTTGTGAAGTAGGAAATAAAACATTTAACATAAGCATAGTAGTTGATGATTTATTGGAACATGTGCAGTGTTGACAAAAAGAAATGCAGCCGGACATTCTTCAACGAGTCTTAGGCTTCATTCAGGGTTAGAGGGGGGGTGGGGGGGGTAAATACCTGAACCAAACCAGTAGAATTGACAAGACTAGATTGATAAGTGCAATAATTCAATTATTCAAAATATCCTCCATAGTGACTTTAAAACGATTCTGTTACTTATGTTACATCTGAACTTGAATCATTTGGTTAACTTCAGTCCCCTTAAAGGAATACACCACTAACAATCTCTAGTGAGCATCAAACACTCCCCCAACACCACCTCGCCACCTTTCAAGCCAGTGGAGACTCCTTGATACTCAAAAGAGGGACTTTCAGTGGATTGTTCCTTTAAGGGTTGCCAGGTTACATGAGCGTGGCAACCTACGGAGCCTGGGTGGTTCCTAACCCCACAGCATTTGCATAAGCAGACAGCAGACTGACCACCTGCCTAGTCTCCAGTGTGAGTCTGGCTTCAGTCAGCCAGTCCTCCACCACTCTCCTGGCCTCTCCTCTCAACTGGTTCACCAGTTTAGCTGCCAACTCCAGATCCCCATGCTCTAAGCAGAAGCTAGCATACGACAGAAGCTTGAATGGGTCTAAATCCTCGCTGCCCAGCTGGCCGGGTGGGGCTTCCTGTTTGGCCTCGAACAGCAGCGCAGCTTGGAGGTAGGACAAGAAATACTGGTACAAGGAGTTGTGAGTTTCGTCGACGAGGGCGACTCGGCGAGCCAGCGATCGAAGGGAGTTGAAGCGGGCACGGAGGGAGGCCTCGCTGTACACGCCGCGCTGCAGGGATTCTTCTGGAAGGGCCGTTGCCAGAGCCAAGGCAAAGTGATTGTCGTGGCAGCTGTCTCGCACAGCCTGAGCAGCGCCCTCTAGAGGCATGGTGGGGGAGTCAGCGTCAGCCATCTTTAACGAGTAGTTAAGAGCCTCCACAGAGAGCCAGAGCTGGTGGGCTTTACGGGCCTCCTCCTCTGCTACCACATGACCTGCAATTAAAAGACAGGAAGGTGTTTACATGAGCCCGGGGATGAAGAGTCCAGATGTTGTACTATTCTGCCATGAGTCCATATCTTTAAATAAATCATAAATAAACCACTGAACAGTGTATATATGCTTCATAGCTTTGATCAAACCCACATTATTATTTCTACATTTATCAGCAGAGACCAAGTAACTCCTCTCTCTGACTCGCTCTACAGTCGTGGACGGACTGCATTTGCAACACACAATCATTTAATATTTAATATTTGTGAACATGAGCTACTCTCTCAAAGTGTCAAACTTGTGAAGTCATCCAGCATAACATTTGGATAGGAGACTAACAAAAGGAAGTCAAATACCAATCAGTGTTGTCAGTTCTGAAACAGAAGTACATTGCTAGGCAACAGTTTGGGTCTCGTGATGTCGCAATGTGTGATTTTGAAACCACGATTATTATCGGAGGAAATATCACAATTTCTTGGTTTTCACGATTATTAAATCATAATATTTCTAATATAGCTAATAAACTGAAATATTTATCAGCTTCTACTGATTCCAGTTATTTGTATAGTGTAACGTCCGGATATACTGTTAAATAGGATGAAGGTGTAGGAACACAGTCCTCCTCTGTTGGTAGTATGATATCCACACATTATTATGGACTACTCCTGGCCCACTTTAAACTCTTTTGGTCCAGCTAGCAAGTTACTGTTTTTTACCTTGACTTCAGCATAAAGGGCTGGATGATTATTTTCAAGATGTTGGAATATATTCAAAGTGTTGGACCTCTTTGCAGTCACTTGTGGATGGCACGCTTTGCAACTATATACCAATACTCTATAACAACTTCCTGGCAATGTATTGGCGGATACATACGTTACGTGATGTTGACTGATGTTTTGATATCGATATGTTCAAATTTTGAATTAGTGTTCTGATAACATCAGATCAATGTAGAACACCACTTTCCTTCTTCATCATGTTCTTTGTTCTGCAACAGGAAATAAACTGGGACCCTATTACCTTCCCCTGGGTGTCATCTATGGGTACATGTCAAGTCTCTTAATTGTCATTTCCTCGCTCCTCGATTGAACCGGAAGTTGTTCTGCTCCGCCATATTGACGGCCGTCCCAAAACTCTTATTTGGCTCGGAGGAGCGAGGAGGGATCTCTGAGGAGCCATGAGTGAGGATGCACAAGAACAGCCTTCCAGGAAGTGTTTTAACGGCGGACACGCCCCCTTCATTGTTCATCAGTTATGTGATTGGACGCTGCAGCTGATCGGAGTGACTGGCTGGAGTTTCATACCAGAGTGAAGAAAGATCGCAGATTAAACTCTAGTTTTATATTTGATTAGTTTTCTGATTCACCGTCTGGTTTAAATATATGTTCATTGTAGTCTGAACAACAAAAGGACCACAAACAATTTTCTTCATTTATTAGAAAGATTTGTCTTTTCATGATCTGATATTTCCCTCAATAACTTTTATTATGGATACAACTAAAGTCAGAGAGAGCTGGGGAGACAAAACACTTTTTACATTATTTATCATCATTTCCATTCAGTCACGTGAGGCTGATCATTCCTGTGTCAGGTTTGATGAGTTTTATCATTTCAATTTAACCTGAAACATCGAGCCTAATAAATTAATTCCAGTAGTCAAGAGAAACCATAATCATAGTTTGGGTTAATTAATAATGACGTCACAATCTGAATTTCAAAACGTACAGACGCATTCTGCCGGTAGAAATCGGTCCTGTGCTTATAAACAGAAGTTTGTTAAAGAGGTAACAGACTACAGAGAGAAACACCTCTACAGTGGTAATTTACTGTGTGTCTTTATTAGTTATTAGTATCATTAGTTACTATTATTAAGTACAGTGATCATGTGAACAGACACAAACTTCTCAAAAGTCTCTCCAGCTGTTAAAGCCGACTGACAGCTGATCCATCTGTGATCAGCTGTGATCAGTGGCCGCCGTTATCAGAAACAGACGTCGCTTCACGAGACGCAACTGAGGAAAGGACGTTTCATGTCTCTTAAAACATATTTCCTCGTTTCCTCTCTCCTCGTATGGTTTCCTCCGTGCATCCCTGGGAGGGACTGACGCAAGGAAAGGACGCAAGTGAGGGAAACGGGGATGCAATTAAGAGACTTGGGACATACCCTATAACAAATCTCTCTTCCACACTTTATACTTTGGGATTTGGGAGATTTGCTCATGTTAATAATGTTTTTGGACTTATTAGACCACAAGAAAATAACAGATGAATTTTGAATCATCCTGCATCAGGACCTCCAGTATTTGGAGCAAGCACCAATATGGTGTACTTCAGTGTCAATTACAGTTAATTAACATTCATTGTGTGCGTGTGTATCTCACTGTCTATGGCCTCCTCCATCCCCTTCAGTCTTGCGTAGGCAGTGTTCATATCCAGAGTGAAGTTATCCAGCTGTTCCTGGCTCAGCTGGCGGTAGTGGGTCTCCTGCTCCAGCATCTTACTGCCCAGGACCTGAACAAACACACAGCCCAGCGTTGAAGGTGACGTGCCCACGACTATGCCAGTTAAGTGGATGTGTGGATGCTGCAGGCACCAAGCTGGCTGCATCTGTTCACGTGTCCTGGCCACACAGAGTCCTCTCTTACAGAGTTTGAGTGCAGTCTTGCTATAATGATTTAATGAGTTATGTGATCAAAGAAGAACAGTAGATAAAGTACTGACGTTCAATAGACGCATCATTTACTCATCGGTGTGCGCCAACTTTTGGATTGAGTGTGTGTGAAGAATGTGTGAGGCAGTGTGGAGACCTGCTCAGCATCAGCTCTCAGCTCCGTCTCCTGGACTTTGAGGACATCTTGGACGTGGTCCGTGTGAGCAGCTGCCTGACGCCGGAGCTGAGTCCTCATCTCTGCCTCCATCACTTCCCTTAATTCAGACAGCTACACACACACACACACACACACACACACACACACTTCATTATTAACAATAACATAACATTGATAATAACAGAGACAGCCTCAATGCATGGCTGTCTGAGAGGACGTTTGTGCCATATATTTGGAGCCACCGTTACATCTTGGTGGCTCCAAATGCAGATCAAGGTCAGCAAACCCTGAACCGCTGGTGTCCCGTCCTTACCTTCCTCTCCTGCTCCAGCCGGGTGTCCTCCTTGACGTGCTGCACGGCAGTGAGAACAGCTTTCTCCAGGGCTTTCTGGTCCTCCAACTTCTGCTGCTCCAGCGATGCATCAATGTGGATCTGCTCCCTGACTCTCTGCTCAGCCAGCTCTCGATTCAGCTGGTCAATGCGACGGTGTGCGTGGGCGATCAGGGCGTTCAGGTCATCCGCTGACAGTTTACCGGCTAACACACAAAGACACTAAGTTATTTTGCAAATATGTTTTGTCGGAAGAACTCCACTTCAGGTGTTTATCTTTATGAGAGAGCACAAGTGCATCACAGTCCCATCCCACATAGATAAAGAGGATACACTATGTACTAGTGTTGACAGTAGGCCTGTGTGTTGGCAAGAATCTTACGATACACTACGCATCATGATACAGGGGTTATGATCAATATACTGTACTACTAAAATGATTTTAGCCGTCATAGCATAGAGAACACACCACAATATGTATACAATCTGAGTAATAAAAAGTTTACTTTCATGAAATCATAACAGTGTGATCTGAGTCCAACATGATCCACTGTCTGCTGTCAATCTTTGCATGTAAATTATCAATTAAAAATCAATAGTGTTTTAGAGAATTTAACAGTATCATAAAACATAGTAGTGCAATACTCAAGTGTATCAATATTTTGTTACTCCCCTAAATTGCAACTAGAGTATTCGTAGACATCAGTGGGGTGATGGGATCAGGAACTTTGGAATTATATGCACATTTAACACGTTTCTCATAGAATATGCTACATTCCATTTTACATGATTTGTTTTCATGTGTCACAATCAAATATGCCTCTAACATGAAAACAGGTGTATGTTCTGTTCTGTTGCTGGAGGAACTCTTTATAGCACCTTCCACGGGATGGATTCTGCCCACCTCCCTTTTGGACTAGAACGTTTTGTCAAATATGTGTTTCCTGTTACTGCCTGAGTGCGTGCGCGTGGTCTTACTGAGTCCCTTCCAGTTGGCCTGGATCTCTGGAGTGAGGCTGCTTACTTCCCTCTGGAACTGTAGTTTGGCTTCATTAACCAGTTCACTGTACTGGGTGACAATCTTAGATTCTGACTCTGCAGACTGCACCTACACACACACACACACACACACACACACACACACACACACACACACAATTTTAAGCAGCTTTATGTACTGACATTGCACTGCATTTCTGTTGGGTAATGAAAACGCAGAGGGAGCTGATTTCCATTTAGCAGTAGATCTACATTCCACCCCTCACTATTCATATCTATCCGGGATAGTTGCACTGAGATATAAAGTCTCAGAATGTCTGAAATGAGTTTCCTCTGTGGGTCACTGGGCTCGTTGTGCAACCGCCGAGCCAAAAGAATCGCCATTTTTCATATGGAGTCATATCAGTCTCAATATCATATAATATAATATGAATGCACATAGACGTTCTTATAAATGTATTTAAGGATTTATATATAAAAGACTCGCCACATGAATATTTTTCAATGCACACAAAAATATAATCCCCAAATAGAAGTATTTAACAGTATTTGAAATTTTAATCAAAACATATTTAGATTTTGTTACATTTATGTGTGTGTTTGTGTGCATTTTTGAGACTCCCATGACTTGACTCCATTCACAAATGCATTAAAGGGAATTATCTGTAGCCAATCAGATGGCTGCTTCCCTTTCAGCCAATCACGTAAGTGTAGATTCAAGGGTCTCATTCAATGCAATGTAGAAATACCCTGAACAGTATTTTCGTCTGGTTGTACAGAACGTCCAAAATAATGTCCTTACCTTCGTGACCACTTTGTCCAAGTCCACCACCATGTTATGGAGATTCTCCTCTGCTGCTAAAACCAGTGGGCGAACAGCAGAGACCTTCAGCCCTTTAGACTGGTCAATCTCTGACTTGAGACTGCCCAGAGCTTCACTATAGGGGGAGAGAGACAGGAGAGAAGGGGTGAGGAAGCGGACGGAGTGGAGCTGTCGTGTATCATCACAGAGCGAAGACCACATATCTGAAGAGGGAGAGGATTGTCAAAATCTAGTATGATAAACTCGATGCGATGAGCAAGGATCTGTCTGATTCAGCCCAGCAGGTGTGTGTGTGTGTGCTTAGATATATGTCTTACTTGGCATTCAACAGAGCAGTTCCAGCAGCATTCACGGCAGCGGTTCTATCAGCTAGAGCAGCTTCCAGATCCTTCCACTGGGCCGACTTCTCCTGAGGTGGGACCTGGATTTAATATGAACTGTAATCAGTCTACTGCAAAGCAATCATGATCCGCATTAACAATGTTGCATGACAGGAAACACTGGTACAATGTTTTTGTAGTGAGGTGGTTCAGGAATCTGATCAGGACGCTTCATGAAAGCCTCTCATTAGAGCTGGTAGGACATCCCAGGTAGACCCAGGTCACCACCGGATCCCTCAGGAGGAGCTGGAAAACGCTGGTGGGCCCTGCTGCCACCACGACAGGGCCCCCGGATACGCAGAAGGAAATAGATGGATGGAGATCTTTAAAGTCCTTGTGTAATGATCCTCATCTCTACCATCACGGTGGAAAGTCAATGGTGATAATGATGGAACTGATTAATACGTAACTGGAGCCTCTGGAGTCCCAGCCCCTGGGTCTAACACTAAAACACAACAAACCACATGGATCTAATGACATTTTCGACACCTGTACCAGTGGCACTGTATTATTTACCTCTGCTTCCATAGCCTCCTTCAGTTTGTGTGTGTGCTGTGCGATAGCCTGCAGGGCTGCCTCCTGAGCTCCAATGGCCTGCAGTGTAGCTTTAGCCGAGCTGGCCAGTGAGTCCTCAAGACTGGCTGATACAGCTGCAAAACAGACACACACACAGACAGACACACGTGAGGTCGGGAGAGAGTCGAGAGTAGAGGAGATTAAGCAGTGGAATGTTCATACCTCCTTCTAAAAAAGCTAATCATCGACATCGGCCAATAAAAGAATTGTAATGTTTCTGAGAGGTTAATGTATAGATTGAAATTGTGAAGAAAATAAATAAAAATATATAAATATGGTTTTCCATCATTTTTGTTGAAGTGGTACCATTATTTCACTACTTAACACACATTTACCCACTTATTTAGGTGGTTGACATGTCACTGCTTAATTATGTGTGCGTGTGTGTGGTGTCTGTGTGTGGTGTGCGTGTGTGGTCAGCCTACATGCGAGGGTGTCCTGTTCCTCCTGGTCTTGTTGAGCCAGCCTGGCTGCCACTTCCTCTACTGGTCTCTCTCGCAGCGGGGCCTCTGTGTCGGGGTGAACCAGTGCTGTCACTGGAGGCTCCGTATGCTCGTGGCACTCTTCGCACTCCTCTAGAGAAAACATGCACAAACAATGTGACCTGGTTGTATGTGGCTATGTGTTTGACTTGTGTTCACTGTGATATAACCCTCATCCTTTTAAAGATTTGGTTATTTTGTACCTTCCAGGTGGCAGTTTCTGATCTTTGAGTTTTCTGAGTTTCATCTATACATTGATCTAAATGTCCAAAGGTTGAACTTGTGCTTTTACTTTAAAACTAGGGTTGGTAGTGTTCTTCAAAAACATTGTTTGTCATATTTGTTGAAATAGACTGCTGCAGGAATGAGTCTTAAAACCAGGAAACAAGTCAGCTCAAATTTAATGTGTTTATTAATGGCTTTTTGGTTAGATGCCTGTAAGGGTCTGTGGTTAACACAAGCTGCTGTTCTGCGATATAAAAGTCTTCTGTAAATACTCTTGTGAATTTAGAGGCTTTTGGGTGACTTTAAAAAAGCAGTAGCTAATGAGATGACTAAATGCCATCATGCCGACTAGTCCACCCTCACAGCGTGGTTGTGTACTCACGCCGTGTCACCGTGGTGTAGTTCGTTTATAGCCTAACATTAGCGTGGTACTTCCATCCAACCTGTCCAATCATTTCATTTGGGCTGAATGGACTACCTGAGGGAGATTTTTTTTTAATGTTTTACTCTGCTGATGTGAACGTCTTCCAGGCTCTTGCCTTACAAGATGAGAGGTAATTGTTAAATATCAAATCAACCAATCAAAAAATCTATTTACTTGGTTTTATCAAAACTGCTTCAATAACAAATGAAAAGAAGGGAAGAATGCGCCTCAAAGTCTGTGAGTGGGTGAGGGTGGAGATTGGGATTGGGCCAGTGCTGCAGACTTTCTAACCACATTTAGCAACTTTCAGAGAGGAAAAAGAGTTGGATACCTTCTAAAACCTGTTGTGCTCTGTGGAGTGTATTCAATATTACCAACCCAAGCTTTAAGATACCAAAGCGTACAGTGGTGGAGAGGTGCAGCTGAATGGTGTTACCTTTTACTGCTGCTGCCTCTGTGTCACATGGAGCAGGGACTGTAGAGATCTCACTGATGGCTGAGATGATATGAGTAGCTTCTGCTGAAGCCTCTGGATGGGACATGAATACAGAAAGGTTACAGAGAGTCTTTTTGCACACAGACAGACAGAAATATAAACACTTGGCAAAGTATTCTTAACCTCCTCTGCTGTACTTCCTGCTACAGTCGGTATCCCCGACACCTCATTTAGCCATGATGACTCATACACAGATTTTGTAAATGTAAAATAAAACTAGATCAATTTTCTGCACCAATAGCTTCAAATGTATGGAAGCATTTATCAGAGTTGGTTGTTCTGGATTGCATTACAGTGTGCCCTAAATGCTGTGAAGGACTAGGTTATAAACTACATTATAACACTAGTCATTAGTACAGTCCCATCAGACTGTACTAATGAATCTTCCCCTTTGAGACATAAAGCGTAGAGGCAGTGAATTCTGTCATTTTGCTTAAATGTAATATTTCCCTGACAGTAGACTTATCCCTTAAAAGGACCACGAGGATTGTAAGGACATCATAGCGGTTACATCACTGTCCTCCTCCCCAGCAGGGACGCTCCCTTCAAGAGCAACATCATCATCACCGTCTCTCCGTGGATCACCACATCCAGGCTGCCCCTCCCCCACACAGACACACAGACACTGATGCTGAAGGTGTTGATATTTAGCCTACCCAAATATGATTTAGTGATCACTTAACAGTCCAGGATTTGTTACCTATCTGGTGAAATATATATATATATATAACACTTTAAGTTTTCTTATACTTTGGGCAGAGGTTTTTAACAGATTATCAGCCATTTGATGAAGATTTGGACAGGGTTTGTACTATTACTAATAATAATAGTATTTAAACAAAGAGAGAGGGAGTTGATGTTGGCTGAGAGATTGCTCACTCGTATTTTAAAATGTGACTTCAGACTGTCGTCGGCTTCTTGCTCAGGATAAAATGATGTAAAAAAACAGCAATAAATCAAAGATACATAAATAAATAAACAACTTAAATGTATATTTAAGAACGGAATAAAACACAAAGACTAAAGACTGAATTTTAAGATGACCAATCAACAAACAATAGTTCAAATTTCAAAATGGAATGAAACAGCAAATAAATAGATAATTTAAATACAGATTGATTTTGAAATATAGATTATTTATTTCGCTTTTTTAATTCATTTGAGAAAGCAGTTGCCACCTTGTCGCCTGTGTGTGTTACCTCTAAAGTCTAGAGAAAGGCACGAGCTCAGCACTCTACAGCTAGAAGAGCACAGAAGAGCGCTTACCCTCAGAGACCACTATGGGTGCACAGAAAACACACAGAAAGACTTTTACAATCACAACACGTTGTTGGCTCAGCCTTCCTCCCTCTTGGGTCCATAAGACTGTTCTTACATGTTGTTTTGTGCTGTAAAAAGAAATCTACCTACGGTGATTAAAACTACAGTTAGCAGCTTATAAATCACACTGGCCCCTAACTCCTCCTGGTCAAAGGCAATAACTCAAGTCAAGAGTTTCAAGAGTGTACATGACAAATCAGAGACTTACCCTCTATGCTCTGTGCGGGCTGTGATGGGACGGGACTTGTCTCTTTGGCTGGACTCTCTGCCTCCTTCACCTTCTTCTTCTCTTTGGGCGCCTTCACCGGTTTCTCCATCATAGAGGCAGGCTGGGCCATCTCCATCTACACAGCAGCAACAGCAGACATGAGGCCTGAGGGCTCAACACGTTTTGTACAGAGCCACGTATCACAATCAGTGCCCTGCCACAGAAAGCAGCTAACTCTGAACACTGAGTTGATGAACCCGGAGATGGAAAACTCAGAACAGCTGATCAGAGTTTGTTCAATCAACTGAGTTTTATCACTGTGAGTTACGCTCGCTCATGGTGAATGAAAAATAGAGCTACGATACCACGATTCACCATAAACAGGCAGGCCTCCATGTTAATCTAGTGGACGTAGAGATGTTGATGCATGTAAGATATATAGCGACTGCACATTTACCTTCTGCCTGAGTCAGAGAGGGGAAAGTCAGTAAGTTAACACAATTCAGTATTGTCGATTAATTCATAGATTGTTTCTGCTTTAACAAAAAACAGGGGCCAGCAGCTGAAGATGAAAAATATAAAGAACAATAAATATAAGAGCCATTGCTTTAAGCGCACAATCTGCTCCAGTAATGAGGTTTGGGGTGAATAAAACAGTGGCTTTTAAGTGTTATACACTGTTTGGATCTTTGCTCAACAGCATTCAGTGGCTTTATTTCAGCAACATTAAACACCTTCAATGAAATGTTAAAACAGCCTTTTAGATAACTCACTTTCAAACTGCATTCTACAGCTTTACATATAATCTCCAATATTATAGGAGATATGTTCCATCAGTGACCATCAACCGTGTATTTATACATTTGTAAAAAAAACTCCCAGGACATACAGAAGGAGCTGAGGGAGACTTGACTTGGTAGTAAAAAAAGGTGGAGATTTAAGATCTAATTTTTAAATTATCCAAAAGGTCTACGTGAAGTGATTTTAAAGAGGAGCTGTATTTTGTTCCAGGAGTCAGGTGCACCAACATTCAAAGCAGTTTTTCCAAGTTCAGACCTAGCTCGTGGAACTATTAAGTTGATGAACTTAATTACTGATCTGATAGTGCGGATGAGTTGGCGGAGAGTCAGTCTGTAACTCAAGTCGTGTCACAGAGATTCTTCTGTGCACACATCTGCTGCAGAGAGAAAGCACACAACAGAGAGTCTCCTTCTGTCCTGTCCTCAGCTTACTCACACAGTGAAGGTGACTCAGTGACAGCTTATATGACGTGTATCATTTGTACCTGTCAGTTTTGTAAACGGAGCTTTGGAGGAGATATAATGGATTTTGTAAAGCTGTGTGTCAGAACAGAGTCAGTCACAGGTGGCTGAAACAATTCTTCATACTCCCATACAAACTCACTCCCATATTGATCTGCTTTCTTTTAACCGATACGTATCCATTAAACTGTGTTCCTGATACTAAGGTCCTGCTCGGCACATCTGTAATATAAATAAATGGATTCATATATTTTCCAGCTCTGTGTCGGAGTGAATTTATTTGTTTTCTGGAAACAGTCTGATCTAAAGAAGAAGAGAATCCAGCTCTCTTATTTATTGCCCAAACATGTTGTGAATCCATCCTGACCTGTTTGTTGATGCCACCTTGAGGAACAGGTCCCAGAGCCAGACCCAGGAGCCAGTCCGAGTATGGAACATTGTTCTCCACGGCGGCTCTGAACTTGTGGTCCCATTTTGCGTAGAGTATTGTACCTCCAACGCCACCGCCTACTGTCACCAGGCCAGCAGCAATCACTTTAGCAGCAGCACCACTGTGGTGGAGGAGGACAGCAGAGGGAGAGACATGAATCTGAAGTCAGCATGTGGTGTGACAATGAAACCAGCTCTCCATGAGGCTCATTGAAGGCCCAGTTCCAAACCAGCTCCCCACCCACTTCCCTTCCGTTACGCGTATCATAAGTGCCATCCCAGACCCTCGTACAGCGAGTCGACATCCATGCTGTCCTTACTGACCACTGCTTTGTAGTCGTGTTGCAACACGCTCCGTACTGATGGTTCCGTGCCAGTACTCGTACAAATATTTGCTCTTTAACTACTCAAACACATCTAGACATTTAATATCGTCATATTGTGTTAATTTGATTGTTAAGCGTTGTATATTTATACACAACATATATTTATTATTTTTACCCCCATCAGCAGCTATAGCATACATATACATATACATATACATATATATGTACATATACACACATATGTACATATACACACATATATACATATATATATACATATACACACATATATACATATACATACATATACATATATATATACACATATACACATATATATACATACATACACATATATATACATACACATATATATACATACATATATACATATATACACATATACATACACATATATACATACATATATACATATACATATATACATATATATATATACATATATATATATACATATACATATATACACATGCATATATATATACATATACATATATACACATACATATATATATATACACATATACATATATACACATACATATATACACATATATATATACACATACATATATATATATACACATATACATATATACACATACATATATATATATACATATACATATATACACATACATATATATATATATACACATACATATATATATATACATATACATATATACACATACATATATATATATATACATATACATATATATATATATACATATACATATATATATATATACATATACATATATATATATACATATACATATATACACATACATATATACATATACACATACATATATACATATATACACATACATATACATATATACACATACATATACATATATACACATACATATACACATATACACATACATATATACACATATACACATATACACATACATATATACACATATACACATACATATATACATATACATATATACACATACATATATATATATACATATATACACATACATATATA